TTTATTAATTACCTAAAATAATTAATTGGGGTTGAATTACTCGTGAAAAGCTTGATTCGTCTCCATTTAAGCTTATCATTGAGCTGAGCTTAAGCCCAATGACACTTGGCTTGTGAGGCTTGCGAGCCTAATACATTCATACATATATATAATTTTTTTGATGAATCGAACTCAAATAACTAGATAATAGACCCGGATCAGCTAAAATCCACCCGTAGTTGGGAGTAGAGCAGAGATTTCATTTGACGGTACCATGGTGTGGTTGTGTCTATCATAAATAATTGTTGGGATAAGGTGCAAATCCCCCAAAATTAATTGAAATCTCCCCACCAATGGAATCTATTTTATTTTAATCTAAAGGATTCAACTATGATACTGCTGGAATGATATCAGAATAGTTTAGGGCCAATCAGCTAGTACGGATGCTTTGATTTGTCATAGATTTTTTTAAGGTAAATAGAAAAAAAAATTATAAAAGAAAAAAGAATAGATTACAACAGCTGTACCAGTCGATGGCTGGTGTACTAGTGATGTTAGCGGCTGATGTATCGAGCTTGATACCGGGCCATTGACGGTAGAAATAGTGCTGATCATGAAGTTGGGTTCATGTGGACTCTCACTTGTACACATGCGAATTTACGTGGGCTCTTAGTTGTCATGAAGTGGGGATTATGTGGACTCTCAGTTAAAATACATAACATAGCATACATAGATGTATGAGTGAAGAGAGGATTAAAATTGTCATTTGTGTCAATATAAACACTTATGGAAAAAATAATTTACTAAATATCCCCACCCCAATAAATGCTTAAAAACATAATAAGTGAAATGAAAAATGGACTAACAAACAACCTTGAGTGATTGTTAAAATAAGTAATTCTTCACAAGGACCTATTTATTTACATTTCTTTCAGGTTGAAAATTTTATTCTCACCAAATGATTTATTCGTGGAAATTACATTCTCTATATATGACCGCCATCGCAAATCAAACATGAGACCCCAACGACTTTTGTTTTTTTATAAGTAGACCCCATTGAAATTCGAATACGCCAAACTTCTTATCAAACACCACTTCGCTGTGATGGTTTATCTCTTTCTTTAAACACTGATGTATTCACCTTTCATTTTTTTCTCTCTTTTCTTATTAAGCTCACACTTCATTGGGAGTCTTTGGTTTATCCTAGGACAATGTAATCTCTTCCGTATTAGATATGATTTGGTTGAGATAGGATTAGGTGAAATAAATAACCATTGAAAAGTTCTGTCCGTTCGTTCTACAGCAGCTAATTCGAATTAAATTTGGTCATCCAGGGGATCCATCCAATTTGGTTAAATGGTTCACGAGCTGATCAGATCTCTATGTATCTTTTCTGGGTGAATTAAAAATACCCCCATGCTATGGTCAGCGACAAATACTTTCTTGAACTTTTGTGTATAATAAATATCTTCTAAATTTTCAATATGACAAATACTCTCCATTAAAGTTCTGTCCGTTGACTTAAAAAAAGATTTTCATTCAGTTGTTTAATTTTTTTAAATTCTCAATCTATTATTTTCTTATTTATTTGAATGATTTATGATTTGATTAATTTTCTAATATAACATTGAAGTCCTCTTTATTGCACCAGTAGATTCTTATAGATTTTTTGCTGGATTCAATATTCAAATGAAATGGTAAAGGTTTCTTTTTCTGATAGATATAAATTTATTGTTTCATTTGATTTTTTTTATTTATTGGAGAAAGGAGTGAATAAAAAGATGAAGAGACACATTCATGTTAGTATAATGAATCAAGAATTAAGAGAAAAACTTTTTTTTTCTATGCCAGTGAAATGATTTTTATTATTTTAGCTGGTTTCGTTTAGAGAAAATGGAGGTAGTTTTGATCAATTAAGGTTTAAGAGAAAAAGGTGAAGAAAGGTTCAAGTGGACATTTTAGTAATTTAACTCATTCCATCTTCGAACTTAACAGGTGAGGGTATTTGTGGTAAAGTGAAAGTTCAAGGAGGTATTTATCACTGACTCCATAGTACAAGGGGGTCTTTGTGAATTTACCCTTCATTAATAAAAGAAAGATATCCTTCTAAAATCCACACACTATGCTGAATGATTTGGTTCGGTTGAGCCTGAGCAACCCAGCCAGGTTTTGACCTCCGTTCGGAGACTTAGAGTACTAGGCCTGTGCCCAAGGTTTAGGTCCTTATGGTTGGGTGTTATTGACCCAAAATTAGACCATCCTGCCCAGTTTTCAACTACCTCCAATGTCAAGGTTGGTGATTCAAAAATCAAAAACATTCATGTGTTGTAGAACACCCCCTAAGAGCTTAGCAGAAAATTTATTTGAAGCAAAGTCCACTATCATTGGTGATTTGATTGATTTCTGCTTGATCCTTTTGCTTCTCTCGTGGTTCCATATATCATTATTAAGATATGGCTTTCTAAGGCCATTAAGAGATGGTTGTGTCTAGTCTTGGGCTAAGCTTAGGTTGTGTTTGATACTATTGCTGTTTCTTCAAGAAATATTTGGGGCTAATCAGTAGAAATTGGTGTCAAAATATGAATTGTCATGCCACAAAAAGTTCTAGATTGATAATGGGGGGTTTGTTTGATCCCCTAGAGAGAAACAATGTAATTGATAAATATAATTTGGATAATGGGAATCCACAAAAACCGATGGGCTGCTTCATGTAGACCTCCTCACTAACATGATCATGCAAAAACGGCATTATTAACATTCGATTATCGAACATTCCACTTGAAGTGAACAAGAGAAAGAATAATGTGTATGGTAGTGGGCTTTACTACTGGGCTTAAGGTTTCATCATAGTCCAAGCGAGTCTCCTGTGTGTAGCCCTTAGCTACCAAATGTGCTTTGAAATGCTTAATGGAGCCATGGGGTTTTTGTTTAATGCGGAAGACCCATTTGTTACCAGAGGAGGCCCAAGAGACCATGCAATTTTTGAATTAAAGCCTTGTACTCTTCAGTTACAAGGGCTCATCGTGGATCTTTACGGGCTTGAGAGTAGCATGTGGGCTCTATTTTAGGAAAGGGAGAAGCAATTAGAGAGCATAGTGGGGATTTGGATTGTTCACCCCATGGATTGAACGAGTCACCATACGACTTGTAGTCTCAGGAACATTAGAGGAAGTAGTGGGTCCAGTGGAGTTGATGTGGGCCCATGAGAAGAAAGTAGCAAACCAGATGCAGGCCCATGGATCTGGGAATGACGACTCTGTAAGGTATGACGTTTGGAGAGCCCACACAATCGAGTATACTACTTCTAAATTCTAATGGTGTAGAAACAACTATAGAACTAGAAGAAAAGGGAAGAGCATGACTCTTTCCTAGAGGGTATGAATTGTAGAACTCGAAGGTCTTATTTGTAAGTGGTAAACCATAAGTAGAAGCAACATGAGAGGTGATGCCAAACAGACATGGATGTATGATCCCCAACAATTTTAAGTTCTGAATCTAGAGATTCAATAGAATGATTGGGTTGTTTTTATGTTTAAATTTTGTTGCTATAAGAGCAATCAAACAATAGGGCCATAATTAATTTAGATTTGGTTTTCAAAATCAAACACTATTTATATCTATACACATGATTTCAAGCAAATTAAAGAGAGCAGAATAAGGGGAATTTGGTGTTTCCTATATATTTATGGTATCTTCCATTATTGTTAAGTAATTCATTAGTTATGATAATTATTAAAAATTTATGGAAAATATTCTACCAAAAAGTATGAAATAATTATTTCAGAAACAATCCATTATTTAACAAATATTAAATAATTTAATAATCAACCATAAATTAAATCCATTATTTAATAATTTTTTGTTATTAATAAATGTTCAAACTTTACATTGATTTACATTAATCATTGTACTTTAATAAATTTTCATTAATTTTTTAGAATAATAATTTATTAATAAAATATATTACTTATTAGTGTAATTTACTAATTTCTATAAAATCAATTATTATCGTTAACAAATATAGAATAATTTAGGGAAACTCTTTAACTAACAATCCATAATTATTTTTAAAATAAGTAATTAAATAATTAAGAAATTAATCTATGAAAAAATATTCTCCAAAACTATTTAAATAATAATCCATTATTATTATTATTATTATTATTATTATTATTCAACTAAATAATTATTAAAAAATCTAGGAAAATTAAATTAGGAAATTAATCTATCAGAAATTGTTTCATAATTATTTAAATAACAATCCATTATTATTATTATTAATTTAGAAAAATTATTAATTCTATCCACACCAATCTAGACCACTTGGTTGACTTCGATCATACCTGCTTTTACATTAATTAACAATAAATGGTTTACTTTTAATAAAAAATTAATGTAATTTACCATAATTACATTAATATACTATATTTCATTTACTTTGATTAATAGTATATAATTTAGGCTTTAAAAGCAAACAATTTACATTAATTTTTTGTTATTGTAAATAATTAATTTACTATACATTACTTCTAATCAATAGCAATTTCAATAATTTTGTGGAAATTATTATAAAATATTATAATTTAACTTATTGTTAGTTAATTAGTTATAGAAAATTAATAGAATTGTAGGGATGGCAATTTTCCCCATAAAATTGGGACCTATCCTACCCCACCCCGAATGGGGCAAGTTATCTCAAATCTTAAATGGGGATGGGGTGGGAACAGGAAAAATATTTTTGCTCCAAATTAAAGATGGAGTTTGCATATAATTCCTTAAACCCGAAGGTAAATTAGTAAAATATTCATAGATTTAATATTGCTTTTCAAATATCTCTAAACTTTTTTTATATTCTTATAATCCTAAGATCCTATAATTTTATTTATAAAATATTTTCAAATTGTCATAATTCAATTCCTAAAATACCCCCAAATTTCCATAATTTTATTTATAAATGGATGTCTTGCCCTGAACCCACCCTGCCATTCAGTTTGGGGTGAAGATGGAGTTAGTGTGTTGAATTACGGGGGTGAGGGAGAAAGAGGGGTGCCCCATCCCGTGCATTGCACCCCGCGATAGATCCCGGCCCAATTCCAAAAAGCCAGAAAGCTATGCTAATCCACACGGGTTGGTGAAACCCATAGTCAACGACGGTTTAGCAGCCCGTGTGGATAACATTGCTCACTATTCTTCTTCCTCAATCCTGGTTCGATTAGGAAATGGTTCTCCCGGCCGCAGCCTGAATCTTGAGTCCCAAAGCTGGTTCAGATTTCCTTTTTGGATTTTGCTTCGATCGTCTGAAGTTTGAACTCTATTCTGATTCCGTGATTCGGACTTGGGATTCCCTCAATTCCCCCCCTCTCTCCCACCACTTTGCATCGTACCGTTCTGTTTTCTCAATCGATCCGCCTTTCTTTCCTTCAAGTTTTTGTCGTTCTCCACCATCCTTCCCTGCAAAAACCCGTCTGATCTGTTCCTGCAAAGACTCGTCTCATAAGTAGCTCTCTTTCTTACGTTAACAACAATGGTGGGTAGTAGTAATGGCTCGCAGCAGAAGAGCAGAAAAGGAATAGGTTTGGAACAATCGGAAGGCCCGTCTGAAAGCTCGCAGCTGAGGAGTAGAAAAGGCGCGGCGCCGGGATTGGAACGATGTCTGGAGGGTTTATCCAACAGGAAAGGATCCGTAAGGGAACTAGCCCTTTCTCTTATCAATGATGCTCTTTTGAATAGTTTGCATCATAAAAAATTCTTTAACAAGTACTCAATCACCTTACTGCACCACTGTCTGAATTCCATCAAGCGTGGTTCATCTACCCCCAAAGAGATAACCTTAGCTTCTCAGGTTATTGGATTAATGGCTCTCTCTATTGGTAATATGGGAGAAGATGTTTTGTCTTTGCCTCATGAGATATTGGAACTCTCGTTTCCCGACCTTTCTTATGCTCTTCTTGGTAAGTCTTCTTTTGGGTCTAGTTCAGATTCTGATAAGAGGGTCAATTCTTTCTTGGATTGCTTGGCTATTGTCACATTCGTTGGGGGAGACCCTGATGAGATTGAAAGGTCTATGCAAACTATGTGGCAGTTTATTATTCCTGAATCAAAATCATCACGTCCCAAATTAGCATCTGCCATATCTGCTTGGACATTCCTCCTTACATTCATCAATGGGTGGAGAGTTCATTCAAAATTCTGGCAGCAGTCGACTTATTACTTCTCAAATCTTGTTCGTGATGAGAATGATCAAGTTCGAGTTGCATCATCAGAAGCATTGTCTCTTATCTCTGAGATTGGGTACTTGAATAAATTTTCTACTAATGGCTCTTGTGACGGTCTGAAGGAACAGTTGGTGAGTCCTGCGAAAATACAAACCTCTGTGAAAATCGGCCGAGATTTATTAAACATATCAATGTGGTCACAATCCATAAAGATAAACTTTGTGAAGCGTTTTCTAGGAGGTGGGTTTGTCAAGCACATGAAAGAAAATGAGTTTCTTCAACATGTATTTCACTTCACTCCAGAGCCAAAACAACTTCATCCAAGTTTTGAAGAAGAACAGCAGTCAGATTTTGGAGAAGAGGAAGCTCTTTCTACATACACATCTGAAGTAAGAAAGCAAGAGGAATTGTGTGGGAATCAGAAATATCCCAGTTCTGCACTCAGCAAAGCTAGGACCCAGTTACTGAACAAGCAGCGCATGTTATCTCATGGGAGAAACAATGGGCACTTTGCAGTTAGTGAAGAGAATGGTTTTTGTAATTAATCACAGCAGGTCAAGTCCGAAAAATGATTGTTACAGAAATGTGAATGCTTAGATGAATGAGTTGTAAAACTATAAACAATAGGTTTGGAAATTAAAGCATACGAAGGAACCTAGGAATTGCTCCAATGTGTGATAAAATGGGAGAAAGTAGATTGAGATGGTTTGGTCATGTGCATTTTAGACCATCTACAACACCTGTTAGAAAAGTGATCTGTTACAAATTTAAGGAGCTAGAAGAGTTAGGGGACTGAAAAGGACTTGGGTGGAAATAATAAGAAATGATTTAGGTGCTCGTAATTTAACGATGAATATGACACTGAACAGAATGGAATGATGAAACAGGATTCATGTAGCTGACCTCATATAGTTGGGATTGGGACAAGGCTTAGATGGTGATTAATCATGGCTGGCCAAATGAAAAGTCAAGTTTTGTTTTCTTAATTTCTGAATGGAAATATTCATACATTCAACTATTTTTTTTTTCATGATCAATTTCTTTTATGTCTCTGTGTCCAAAATTCTATTATCTTCTCTCATTTTATGATCTGTGCCCGTCTCAACTAAACAGACCAAATAAGGGAATTTAAAGTGGAAAAACAAGAAGCAACTTAATGTTGTTGATGACCAATGTTGCAGACAATCTTCCTCTTGATTGCTGGTTCTTCAAAACTTTAGCCAAGATGTCCACTGTTCTGAATGAGATTAGAAAATAAAGTTGGCAGGAAGTAGTCAGTGCCAATGATACGAAGATTCATTGAATTGTGAAATAAATAATTATGCTTTAAAGCAAAAGCAAAGTTGCATAATTAGAAATGATAGTTTTGAGCTGTTTTTTGGAATATAAAATCTCCATTGTAGACTCTGCATCCTCTTACATCTGTGTTGCTCTAAAAGTATATCAGACCTTCACTTCTTTCTCTGTTCTTCTGTTTTTTTTTTTTTTTTTTTTTTTTTTTTTTAATAAGAATGTTATAGGATGAATTCTGCACTGAAACGGAGATGCAAATTGTCTTCAAATATGCTCAGTTGGAATGCAATTTGTTTATTTACCTTTGATTCAGCTGATATGCAGTGTTAGGTTGCAACATTCTGGATAAAAAGTGCAAACTACATCAAGTTGATGCAACTCTAATCCTATTAACAAAGTGAGTTCATGGCCTAATCAAATCCATACGGTTTAAGCCATCTCATAGATGCAAAGAGAAACAATTGGTATGGGACAGAGAATTACTTATGATCATAAGGCATGCTATCTCAGCACTTGTAAGGGGGCCTCTAAATAGCTCTAGCCTCTAAGTTGATGTCTGCAAGTTGAAGTTGTTAAATTAATATTTCTCTATTTAACAGTAAGTTAATAATGTATAGAATCATATCTAGTATCTTGACAAAAGGTCAACAATTGTATCTACTGTTTGCAGTCTAAACTATGAGAGAAGGCTTTTTAAAGGTAATACTTAACATTAGAGTTTCTGTGGAGAATAGTTTTAGAGAACACTAATCTGAAGAAAAAATATCCTAGTGAATTCATGTACTTACGTTTGGACAATCTTATAGTTAAAATTTTTCTAAGGAAATAATTTTCTAGTCCATTTCTTTTTAGGGACGTAAATGAAAATTCAAATGCAAGGATATGCACAAAATCCTTCCCTATATACAATGGGGTTGGAACCATGTAAGATAGATGGTTTGTCAGGGTTCCACAAATCTATGGTTGTCTATATTTCTAAGGAACAGGCAAGTTTTTCTCAAGAGATCATGGATGGAATGCTTCTGCAGTTAACTGGTTTATCACATATACAAATGCAGAAGATATATTACCCATAGGGGTGCAACTTGGGCGGGCCCAACCTGAGCCCGAACCGGCCCAATCCGAAATTTTACACGGGTTGGGCTTGGATTTTTGGTCCTTGGGGCTGGGCTTGGGCCCAAGAAGGCGGGCTTTTTTATTTTTCGGGCCGGGCTCGGGCTCGGGCCTAGCCCTTGGGTAGCCCAAACCTGGCCCGAGCCCGGCTCAATTATATACATTTATACATATATGTGTATATATATAAATGTTGCATACATATTTACATGTATATACATATATATTTGTATATATAACATTGGTATAGATATTTTGCATACATATTTACATACATACATAAATATATGTATATATATACATATTTGTATATATATCATTTATATAGATATTTTGCATACATATTTACATACATACATAAATATATGTATATTTGCATAAATACATTTATATATGTATAATTTTAGAGTGGGTTCATTGACCACCTTGAGTTCAGCCTGGGCCCAAGCCCAACCCGAGTGCATCAAATTACAGGACGGGCTGGGCTCGGGTTAGGAAAATCGGGCTTGACCTCGGGCTCAGGCCGGGCTTGGGCCTTAAGCCCAAATTTTAGGGCTGGGCCTGGGTTGACCATAAACCCGGCCCAGCCCACCCGACTTGCACCCCTAATTACTCATATAAGAACTAATTAAGGATGACTAAAAGTTTTCAACATTTTAGTTTTATGGCTTTACTGACAACTTAACTGGTATATTTGTAACATAGATGTTTTGTTACTGTTTAGTTTCTGAACCCGTTGATACCTATTATGTCTGAAGTAATTGCTTCTTTATGCTTGACATACATGTTCTAATTTCAGTTGGATTTTAACTTCTGAGAAGTGTCTTCATGTTCTCTATATGAAGCTTAATTGCAACCAGGGTAGCAAGGTATTCTGGTCAAAACGCTTACTGCTTTGAATGTATTTGAGATAAAACATGAGATTGGAGAGAAAAACTGGCAAGCAGTAATCAGTTCCAACAATACTGTGAGCAATTAGTTGAATGTGAAATTTAATGTTTGTAGAATGGATAATTGTGTACATTTACTTGAAAATGTCAAAGGGTTAATTCCATATCCAGTCCACCCCTTTCAAGAACTCAGATAGTTGGGGATGTGTACTTTGGATGGAACAGGGAAATGTGTCCTTTCATAGTTTGCATGGCTTCCATTGTTACCAGGGAAATGTGTGCTTTGGATGGAACAGGAAGCCTGCATTTTGATTCCTGCTTCTCTTTCTTTGCCTTTTTAACCTTTTGTGTGAATATTCCTCCCGGATAGAGAATCTTCAAATAGATTATGTGGGTATTCATTAGGTTTTATTTGGATTCAGGAGCCAGAAGTGGAGATGCAGGATGAAATTTTGCTAAAATGTCAGAAGACATGCATAATTTCTTCTATTCTCTGCATTCCACCAGATTTTTTTTTTCTGGATCCCAACAGGGAAATCGAGGGAGTGGTTTATTAATCTTTGATTCTCTCTCTCCTGCATTCCTGATGTGGCTACCTTTTCTTGGGCTTGTAAGGAAACTTTGTAATTAAAATTTTTATACAAATTAAGAAAAGAAATCAGATGGAGGGGGAAAGATTGTAGGAGATGGATTTTAATTTTCATGCCAGAATCCAAGAGGATTAATTTTGGTGTAGAATCAAAATAGTCCTAGCACATATCCTTCCCAATCTAATCTTGAGAAAGTGCCCAGATTTTGTAACCAATTTTCTATGAGTAAATTGTCAAAGGGCTACCTCCTCTATGGAAATAGTCCTAGCACATATCCTTCCCAATCTAATCTTGAGAAAGTGCCCAGATTTTGTAACCAATTTTCTACTTTGAGTAAATTGTCAAAGGGCTACCTCCTCTATGGACTTGATTTCCAATTAAAGCAGCTATTCCCAAGAGAATTGCTACAGTCAGCACTTCCAAATCAAGTCTCCATGTTTCATCATAAAATAGAGATGTTTTGCATTCTGGATTATTGCAGCTATCATCTCCTCCCATCCTACTTAAACTTACATGAGTACATCACATAACTATATGCCTCCAAAGCATTGAATCCAGAGTAGGTCTTTTGTTCTAGTAATTAGTAGACACTGGAGAGAACCTGCCACTGTATATATAATGTATTCAGTTTTTGTGCTTCACCCTGTATTCACTACTTCCTGCTGAAATTTCAGCAGATCTAGTAATTAGGTCTTTTGTTCTACGAAAGATTAGTTCCATAAAATGTAAAGCACTCGCTTGGTATATGACTGCAATGGTCTTTACAAACCTTATCTATTACTGTAAGCATATTTTGGAAAGAGTCAAAGAAAGCAGGGTATTTGGGTATGGACCTGATGGTCCAGCACCAATCTACAGATCGCAGAAAGTATAAACAAAAGGGCCCAGCACCAATCAAACTTCATTCATTAAGTTCTTCCGATGGTCAACATAAGAATTTTCATTAGTTTGTGTATAAAATTCAGGTTTCAATCAATCTGCGATCGTGGCCATGACAATTTTGTTTTTATTTTCTTTTATTAAATTTTTTCAAATAGATGTTGGGGTCAAAATTATTATTTTCCGTTTCCAGCTAACAGGAAGTAATTTAGGTTGTGTTTGGTTGCAATGCATACAAATTTATATTGATGCAAAACTATAGCAGTGCAAATGATGATTTGAGTGTAAATTCTGACCTATTTTTGTTTCAAATTTTAGCTTATTTTATTTGATTACAGTATAAATGAAGTAAATAAAGACATGAAACAGAATAAAGTAAAGCCCAAAACGAAGTTAAACCAGAATTTGCATTTTTTTTGTTTGCACTCTCGTGCATTCATACTAGTATAAATAAAATTGGACTGCACCAAATGCAGCCTTAGACTCGGATTGGAAAGAGTTCAAATACAAACATGTACAAATGCAAAATGTTGTATAAATATTTTAAAACCTTGTATTTGCATTGTACAAATTTAAACCTTTAGGCTCCGTTTGGTTGAGTGCAAAACAAAAATGTTTGGTTCGTGTGATGTGAGTGCAAAGTGGTTCAAGATTTACACACCCACTTTGCATTCACCTCATTTGTTTTGAAAGATGCAAATAAGAATACAATTTTTGTAGATGTTTGGCATTTCCATCAATGCAAATACAACCATTTCTTGCTACCAAATCGTGTTCCAGCTATTCCCACCATTAAACAAATATTAAAAATTACAAGCTGCCCGAGCATACAGCAGACATCTAGGTAAAAAATAACAACATAAAAACAATCAGTTACTCCCACCATCAGTGCAAATACAACAGTCTCTTCTACCAAGTAAGCTAGTTTCTCTCTCCTCTTCACGCCAACGATGAATAAGAACTATGAAGCTTCCACAAGCATAAAACTAGCAGCCTGGGCATCCTGTCACATAAAGGAACAAAAAAAATTAGTGACATAAACCATCTAATAAATAGGCCTAACAAGCTCCAACATGGGAATCGGACTCGCATACATTTGAAGCACCTATTCGGCTTAACACATGGATGTCTCTCCCTAGTTATCTGGAAATGTACATTCAAATCTCCCGATCTCCCGATCTTTCGCCTTTCCCCACTCTATCAACAGTCACCTCTCCCACGTCCTCCCCAACTTCGTTCTCTTCACCTCCATTCCCTTCAAAAAACTTTATCCTATTCTTTTCTCCTCCTCCCCTGGCGAGACTTCATTTTTTTTGTTTAGTTGAATCTAATCCTGATGCCTTTTTGACCAAGCCTACTTCCAAAGAATTTGCTTCACCTCTGTCCTTCACCACTAGCCATGATTTTCACCCCCTTCCTCTTGTAGATTCTCTTCAATTTGCAACAAGGATGGTCCCCAACATGCCCTTCCATAGAGGTGCAGAGGTTCATCCTTCCCAGCACTAAATGGCATTGGTTTCCCATTAAAAATGAAGCACACTTCAAGGAAACCAGACCCAGAAGAAAACCCAATTGGAGAAATCATCATGTACTCAGAAAGGCTACAAGACCCAGAGCAGAACTACTTTCAGTATTTTACATGGCATCCAATTGCAGAGATTAATTACCCTGCCAAAAGCTAATCCCCGTCCATCGCTGCAGGCTGATCTCTCTTTGGACCACCCATTGGTTTTGCCATTATAATCTGTAATCACAATAGGTAGTCTTAAAAATTTACCAAGTGCTAATGCATTATCAGGTGATCTCTGTAGCAAGGTATCTAGGGGATGAAAATTCTCAGTAATACATGAAATTACCTGGTCTACCCGAAGCACAATGCAGGCAGCATCTGCAGCACATTTGAGGGCAAAGAACCTGTCAACATATCCAACAAAGATAATTAAGTCATGATTCCAGTATAATTATTAGCAACTAATATACAGAAACAAAAATGGAGGAACACTATAAATCTTTATAAACATGCTTAAATCATTCTAAATCAAAATCCTAAAATAATGTGGATGGTTTCCAGATCTCCTGGTGGAAGAAACTACAAAGCATTATTTCAATTTGAACCTTATTCACCCTTCAATATCAATTCTAACATATAATACTGTAAGACCTATCCTGGTTGCTGTTAATCACCATCAATAAACAAAACTTATTTAGGACAAGAGTTGAACAACCTAATGGGAGTTGAACCACGTAGAATAAAGATACAAATTGGTAGTTTAATATTCCGTTCAAATGCGTCCAACAAGATATTTATTACTGGACCTTCAAAGCCTATTTGACCAGGTTGTATCCGAGTCCAAACCCCAAGAAGCATTTGACAAAACATTATTACCAACACATGGATGATACTCCACAATGAAAAAAGTTACATGGTAAGATTTTGAAATGGTTTTAGGAAATAGACAATATGAAGTGCTCACTTGGTCACATGGAGGTCCCAAATATCCATAGCAATTACAACCTTGCAAACACCTTCCTCCAAGTCAATACCCACTTTTGTCTTTCCAGCTGCATGATCTGCATAAAGGGTGGAAATGATCTCCATTGCATTCAGCCCAGCATTCTCAGCCAAAGTTTTAGGTACCATCTGAAAGCTTTCAGCAAACTTTGCAATAGCATATACTAATCTAATCTGCAAGCAGAAGTACCTTAACTTCAGCAGCTATACAGGACATGTCAAACAACAAAGGCATAAAAGTCATTACCATAGAAGAATGTGACATGTTCAATGCGTAGAAAAAAAAAAAAAAGTAAATATTCACCAACGTGTGATGTAACATGAGTAGTTTTCTGCTCAATTCTGAAATATTGAACAAGAGAAAAGAAGAGTGTTTTGATACCATAAAGATAGTAGTATCAACCTGCATACCATATCCTTGTTTTCACTAATGTGATTTTTTCCATGAGAAACATCAAAAAAATTAGTTTTGAATTTCCATGACAGACAGCAACGAGTTTAAGACATCTCATAGATAATATAAAACCACTAGAACCAATTTCATGTAGGAGAATCCAAGATTTATGGCTATGAAGGTAACTGACAAAGGGAAAAGGAAGAGAAAGTAACAGTTACCCTGTCTCCTTAAAAGAGAACTCTTTCAGTCTTCTTGCCAACAGAATTTCACTTGCTGCAGCTCCAGGGATTATGCGACTGTCCCTGCACATAGCTTGAGACAAAAATTATCATTGATCCAAAAGCTGATGAAAACAAGTTGAGTAGCAGAATTCATTTTTTATTGTCGGCAACGTTTAAATTCTGCTTCAAGGTTAATGTGCCAAAAGAAGATGTGAAGCATGAATACCTTATATGTATTTACACCATCATCAACTGCTCTTTCAAGGTCATCTAGTATACTTTCAGTTGAGTGTGGTCTATCAAGGTCATCTAGTATACCAGTTACCTATCAATTGAGGAAATACATACATTGAAGGTAAAGAGAGGACAAAATCAAAAAATAAATAAAATAAATAAAAAAAACCTTCAATAATAGCACTTATGAATAATGGAAAACACCCGAACACTACCAATCTCCTCTACCGAAATAGAATCAGCATATCCCAGTTCGTCTGGGATTGGTTGGCTCAGCTTTAACTATGGCCAAGATTACAAAATTATATTAGTCAGAATAACAGGAAGGATTTCCTTGAAATTAGAAAATTACAAAGATGAGGATGATAATGAGATGAGGATGCTTACAAGAGCAACAGAACCTGTAGTACGGCAAAATTGCCGTAGTTCAAACTTTGAGCTAATTTTCAAGACCATGACCCTGTAGCAGGAACATCAAAATAAGCATGGTTCTGTCGAGAAAAAGGAAATTGCACAATTGGATGCCATGTGAAATACTGAAAATAGTTCCCTTTATTTCATCTATACAAAGCATTTCAGAAATGATTGGAACCGGATGAATGACTTTCTAGTGGAGTTCTATCTCGAACTTTGGGACAAGACAAGAGAATCGCTTACTCATGAATTGTTATTTCTAATGAGAATCATGTCAGGTAAATCCCCAATACAACACACAGGAACCGTGAAAAGAAAACGCAGTTCAACTTCATTTTGCTCAATGAAGAAGGAAATACCTGAGGTTGTTTGGAGCAAACTGTGAGAAGAAAACGCAATTCAACTTCGTTTTGCACGGCGTCTGAGGAAGAGGACGATGAATACAGAGATTCCGTGAGAAGATAAGCGACCTTGATGCACGGCGTCGAGAGTTTCTCTCTTTCACTTGCAAATGAATGCAAAACTATTTTCCATTTACTTAGACCGAAAAATATAACAAATTTTACTTTATTTGAAAATAAAATTCTCTCTCATTTTTTATGTAAATTTGAGTGTATATATATTTTTGCATCGAGAATTAATGCATTTTTAAATGATTACCAAACAGATGTAAATCTAAACGGGAGCGTAAATTTGCAATGGTTCAGATTTACACTCCAACCAAACGCAGTCTTAAGATCAGTTTGGAAGGAATACAAATGCAAATATATAGTGCAAGCCCTTGTATTTTATATTATTTTGCCTACATATTTGAAAGGAATATAAATACAAATATGTAAAATAAAAAACTTTATATTTTATATGTCTTTACACTGTACATATTTATATTTATACTCTTTCCAAACTAACCCTACGGTGCAAGTTTCAATTGCATCGTTTTAAATGCATGAAATTACAATTTACAAATAGACAGATTTTAAATTCTGGTTTAAATGCATGGGAGCCTTGTCAATGAGACATGGACCAAGAAGGTCCGATCCATGAAGCAATGGCACATGGCAGGGTGCAGAACCAAGACCCATATCTTAAGATGGGTCAAATTGGGTTAGACCCACAGTTGCTGGGGTAATAGCCTAATATGTGGATGTGGCCCAGCAAAGGCTTAAAACCGATCCAACTACAACTCGATCCAGTGCTCCTAACTGGCAAGTGAAGTGAAAACCCTCCCCACATGTCATAAAACCAACCTTATAGTTTGTGTCTTACTACAACGCCCTATAGCTCTTCTTGATTCTTCTGCCATGACTCTCCCTCACCGGCTTTAATTATCTTCCTCGTGTCATGTAACAAAAAAAAGCATCCACTCCATTCAGTCAATTCTATTCTTGATTTGAACAAGAAAGAAGATTCCATGTTAGACGAGAAACGCAGATACCATTATTTTTCTTCTTCTTCATTCCACTGAAACCAAACTATGTACCATAAAGATGTTTAGGGAAATGACCCAAAAGCAATAATCATTCTCATGGTTTTTAAAACTTAACCAATGACCGAATTGGTCAGGGGTCCGATTATTTGATTCAAACTGTTGATCCGTTCTGACAAAAGAATTTTAAAATTTTAAAAAAATTATAAAATTGAAAAACAACTAAAATTATTTGAACGATTAATTGGATGATTCAGTGATTTGCTAACCAAAATCAACGGTTTTGAGGAAAAAAATGATATTAAGAAAAAACGGAGCTGGTCAAATGACTGGTTCTCAATTTTCCGGTCTGATCGTCCGTTCCGGTCCAATTTTAAAAACCATGATCATTATCTTGATATTGGGCCTAATTTGTATACCTTACATATATATCTTTTGCTGATATGATATGTTGTGATTGGATATTCCTTTGTCAATTTAGGTTCAATTTGAGGCAATCTGCGTTTTTCAAACACGGAAAGTTTCCTACTTTATTCATTAATTAACGGGACCCATGCGATGCGATGCATGCATGCGTTAATGACTGGAAATTCGTTTGTCAACTTACGATAAGTTTGAGACAATTTTGTATTCATTTGTTAAAATATGGAAAGTTTTATACTTCATTCGTTAACTAGCGGAGACCTCTGCGATTTCATACATGGATGTCTGGGTGATTCGATATTCGTCTCTCAATTTAATTAGGTTGTGTTCAGTAAAACTGAATAGAAAACTCCTTCAATTAATTCAGAGTTTGAATTATTTTTGAACTTGTTTTAAAAAAGGATTAAAATATTGGTATTAAGTATTGTATCAGACAATTTAGATATAGATATGGATACGGATATGTTTGGGAAACGAATGGATATGAACAAAAAATATAAAAATACTTGGATATACTAAGAAAATGCACACAAATTCCATAAATATATTAATAACATTAAATTTAATGTCAAAACAACTATAAGTAATATATAAATACATAGGAATTGTATATTTAAATTATATATATACATATACATATGAAGAAATATATTATAATTAATATAGCAGGGCATGTAGATATTATACAATTTTACTAATAATGCATCAATCAAGAATCCAGGGCAAAAATTATATAGATTTTTACAAATTATTATATGCAAAAAGCCAATATTATTTTATTATCTATTAAAGTGCAAGACATAAAGCATATGTAACTATTGTATTTGAATTATTATATCATTTTTTCTATTTTTCTGTTTTTATTTTTAACATTAACAAAAAATTCAACTAAAAAATTAATTCTTAAATGTTCGATAAATAATATTTATATTTTTGTAAACAATAAATGTGTTATTATAAAATGTAAATTAATAATTTATAAAAATATATAATCTTAACTTAAAATATATCACATCTATTAATATTTTGAAAATTCATATCATATGAAAATTCATAAATTTTAATTACTAAAATAGTTATTCCATTATTAATATTTTATTTTTATAAAATTTTGAAGTTAAAAATTATTTTTATATAAAATGTAGATTAATGTATTTAATAGATTCAATTTATATTATATTTTCAAATATTTTGTAAACAATACTTTTATACTTTTAAATAATAAATACATTGTTATTTAATGCACATTAAAATATTAATTAATAATTTATAAAAATTTAAGATATATACCATATGAAAATTTATAAAATTTAAGTATTAAAGTAATTATTCTATTATGAATATTTTATTTGTATAAATTTTTAAAAATAAAATTCATTTTTGATATATATATATATATATATATATATATATTTGTGTGTGTGTGTGTGGATTTTATGAATTATTCATTCCATTCATTTATAAAATACTAATTTTAAATATCGTTCTTTTTAATTTATAGTTGAAGTTTTTGAAAATAAATGTATGTTGTTTTTTGTATGCATGTAAACATTAAGTGTAATAAAAGTTATTTTATTACACTAACTAACTTGAAATAAGAAGTGGCTTTGTGGTTAATGCGTATCTTGTCTTTGGTTTCGCATTCACCAACCTAGGTTTGAATCACGCTACTCCCATTTTTTTTTATTGTGAGACGCTACATCATTAGTCAAACCCAAGGTTCTTAAAACCAACCTGGACAACGAACTGGTCAGGGGTCCAGTTCTCGAGTCAAACGGTTGGACCATTCGAACCAGATGGACGACTTGTTCTGAAAAAAAAATAAAAAAATAAAAAAAATAAAAAACGGTCATAGCCGTTAAATGGTTTGAATGGTTCGAAAGGTTCAACTGCCTGGGTCAACGGTTTGCTGACCAAATGAACATTTTTTGGCAAATATCCGATTTTGGGGAAAACTGGAACCAATCACCTGATCGGTTCCCAATTTTTTTGGTCTGACTATCCGGTCTGGTCCGATTTTGAAAACCATGGTCAAACCTGATGATGTGCATTTTGGAAGCTCCCGGCTGGCTTGTAATTCAGATGCCTAGCTAAATAATCCCTACTTGGAATGTAGCTTGGATGCTTAGTTGAATGATGATAAGCTAGAGAGGTGGCTCAAATGCCTAGTTGAGTGGTGACAAGCTAGAGAGGTGGCTCTGATGCCTAGCTGAGTGGTGATGAGCTGGAGAGGTAGCTCTGATGCCTAGTTGATTGGTGACGAGCTGGAGAGGTGGCTCTAATGCCTAGCTGAGTGGTGACGAG